GACAGTGGTTCTAACGAGGGGATTGGGGCTGGTGCCCAGGTGCAGCAGCAGCCGCAGCCGCCGCAGCAGCAGCCGCAACCGCCACAGCAGCAGCCGTCACAGCAGCAGCAGCCGCAGTAGCAGCCGTGGGCCCCCCCTCCCACCGGGGTGGCCAGGAGCCTCTAGAGGTGGTGGCCGCGGTGGCGGCCCTCGCAGCTCGGCGTCGGCCGGCAGCTTCGGTGCTGTGAGCTGCAAGTACCAGCTCCAGACCGGTCCCCTCCGCGACACTTTGTGCGGCCGTCCGCACCCGACCGCCCGCTACTTCCGCCGCCTCGACGAACTCTTTCGTCGCCGCTTCGGCCCGGCCCTGGACCTCCCTGAATGACTCAGTCTGCTGCGCCACAGTGTGCCTGTCTTTGAGTAAGTCATGGACCAGATTAGCTCTGCCCAGCATTCTTTGTATGCTGATGCTTCTAATGTGTCCAGATCTTATTACCCTGTGTTATCTAGTTTAGGTGTAGTACCTGTGTGTAGGTTAGACTCCCCTGCTGCGTCATGCGTTGTACCTTTTGCCTTGTCTAGCCTAGGCTCCACACTCGCTCCTCCTTTGGCTGCCGCTTCTACTTCGCTGTCCTTTACACTTGACTCAAGTGCAACTGCCTACTTCTTCCGCAACCACGCCACACTCACACCACTTGCCGCGCCTGCCGCCGTCTAACTTGCTGACCCCTCCTCTGGTCCTGTCGTTGCCCGTAGCTACACTACCCTTCCCTGTCTAGCGGTTCCCTCGGGTTCTCTTATAGGCCTGCACATCCCTTCGTTTTCTAGGAACCTAGTCGATGTCGGCTGTCTTCAGGATCTCGGCATCACCACTACGTTCCCTGGTCACGAGCAGTAGACTGTCTGTACCGAGGCCGCCTCAGGTGCCCCCCTTGCGATGTTCCCCTGGACCCGGCGTCTGGCCTGTTTACGCTGGACACTGCTTCCCCCCCGGTGGGTGTGTCCTCCCCGAGTCCTGCGTCTACCCAGGTCGCTGCGGCTTGCTCGTGTCGGTCGCTCATTCACCCGCCGCTTTTGTGGCACCACCACCTAGGTCACCCCACACTCCCGCGTCTGCGTTACATGTCTCAGCACGGTCTCATCCTAAGTCTCCCTGCGTTGCTTCCTGCCCTCCCTCCGTTGCCTGTGCCGACGCGCACCCTGCGTCAAGGGCCAGCTGCACTGTGCTCCTCATTCCTCCTCACTTTGCCCTGCCACCGCACCACTCCAGACCCTGCACTTGGACGTCTGGGTCCCCGCCCCCGTCCCTAGGCCGCGTCGCGAGGGCTAATTTCTAGTGCTCGTCGACGACTACATGCGTTACACCACGGTGTTTCCACAGGAGAGGAAAGCCGGCGTGCCTGACATTCTCATCCCGTGGGTCATAGCTGCGCGCCTCCACCGCGGTCTCCCTGTGCTGTGTCTCCACTCCGACCGTGGCACCAAGTTCGCCTCTGGTCGGCTTGGACAGTTCTGTCGTGCAGAGGGTATCAACCAGTCAGTCGTACACCCTACCAGACTCCCCGCAATAGAATGGGGTCACTGAGCGACGCATTGATTTGGTCATGGAGGTGGCTCGTACCTCCTTGATCCATGCCAGTGCATCCCATTTTCTGTGGTCGTTTTCCGTACGTTACGCTGCTCACCAGCTTAACCTGTGGCCGCACTCCCAGTGGCCGCAGGTTTTGCCGACCCTTCTTTGGACCGGTTACCCGTTCCACGTCTGGGGCTGCCTCGCTCATGTTCATGCCTCTCGCATGGACAAGCTCACCGCCCGCACTGTCCCCTATATCTTCCTCGGTTTCCCCCTTGACTCGTCTAATCGCTTCTTTTTACCACCCGCCATCTCACCGCTTCTTTCACTCCCATGACGCCACTTTCGACGAGTTTGTCTCCTTTTACCACCGCTTTCCCCACCGAGGTCTCCCGGTTTCCCCTCCCCTGTTTCTGGTTCCCACTCCACCAGTAGCCCCTGCTCCCCTCCCTCCCCGTCCTGCTCCGTCTGGAGTGTCTCACGTCACTCCCGTCCCGTTGGTTGTCCCCGTCAAGGAGTCGGCTGACTCTGGTGGCCCTGTGGCGCCGTTCTTGCCACCTGCCTCTCACCCGGTATCTCCTCCTCCCACGTCGCAGCAGCCGGCGCAAATGCCGCCACTGCAGCAGCCATACTCATCGTCACAGCTGCAGCAGCAGTAGCAGCCGCCGCCGCAACAGGTGCAGCCATCCGTGGACTGAGGGTGATGGCGTTGAGGAGGGTGCTAGTCCTGGGGTTCCTGTCGTGGCTTGTCTCGGTGGACCTGGGGGTGGCACCGGTGCTGGAGAGGATTCTCGCTCTTGGGGTGCTCGTTCTGGGGGTGCTGGAATGGAGTGTTCCGGAGGTAGCCGTTGTGCAGTTGGCGGTCCAAGTGTCGGCGTCGAGCAGCAGTAGGAGCAGTCGCCGCCGGTGCTCAGCCTTCCCTTCCCTGACCGCTCGCCTGTGCCTCCCCTGCCCCCTCCTCCCCTTCCTATCTATGGCCATGTGTTTCCTCCTCCGGACTCGTCCCCGGCTCGTTTCCCCCCTCATTCCCTTCCTGTTACTCCTCCTATGTCTTCAAACTCGACTCCTCCATCCCACTTCTGGTCTCGCCATCCCTCTCGTGCTCGTCTTGTCTCTCCTGTTCAGCGTTCTCAGCTCTGGTCTCTGACCCTGTATGTCCTCCATCCGTCGGGGGTGCTCCTGCCCCTAGTAGTGATGTCCTAGAGGGCAGGCATTACGAGCTTGCTTTCCTATCTTAGGCTGCTCCCCATCTCTGTTCCATGCTGCTAGTCCCTGAGGGTGACCCAGACGCCTTTGACATCCCGACCCCTTGCACTTATGCTAAGGGTAGTTGAGTTCTGCCCCGTGTAGTTTCTTACTTAGGTAAGCGATTGGTTGCAGTCCATTCCCTTGATCTTGCATCAAGAATGCTCCCACTGCTTGGTCACTGGCATCAGCTTCGATGACGTAGTCGCGTTCGGGGTCTGGCAAAATGAGTACGGGTGCGGACGTAAGTGCTTGCTTCAGCTGCTCCACGGCTGCCTGGCGCTTCGACTCCCATTTGTAGGGCGTGTTCTTCTTCAGCAGATTTGTGAGTGGTGCTGCGATTTTCGCATATTGTGGCATGAACCTGTTGTAGTAATTAGCAAAGCCTAGGAACTGCTGCAACTCCTTCACGTTCTCGGGTGTCTTCCACGTACGAACGGCTTCGATTCTCTTGGGGTCGACGTGAACTCCTTGAGCGCTCACCAAGTGTCCTAGGAACTGGACCTTCTCAAGGGCGAATTCGCTCTTGGACAGTTTGACGTAGAATCGTTCTCGTCGAAGAATTTCGAAGACGCGTCGCAGGTGTTTGACGTGCTACTTCATGTCGCGCGAGTAGATGAGGATGTTGTCCAGGTACACCACCACGCACTCGTCCAAAATTGGTCGTAGAATGTGGTTCATTTCGGCTTGGAACGTTGCCGGTGCGTTGGTGAGTCCGAACGGCATTACCAAATACTCGTACGATCCATACCGAGTTCGGAAAGCAGTTTTGTGGATAGAGTTGTCCGCCATCCGTATCTACCAGTATCCGGACCGCAGATCCAGTTTGGAAAATACCGTAGCTCCCCGAAGCTGGTCAAGCAGGTCATCGATTCGTGGTATTGGATATCTATTCTTGATGGTCTGCTTGTTAAGAGCTCGGTAGTCGATGCACATGCGCAGGCTTCCATCCGGTTTCGGTGTGAAGAGTACTGGGGCACCGTATGGCGAAGTGGATGGTCGGATGAGTCCTTTGGCTAGGAGATACTTGATCTGTTTTTTCATGTCAGTCAGCTCCGTAGGGCTGAGCCGATATGGTGCTCGGAAGGTCGGCTTCAAACCCGGTTCCTCTACAATCTCGTGTTGATGCGTACGGTATGGCGGTAGCTGTTATAATCACAATAGGCTTAGATGTGCCTATAATGCGAGATAGAGAGCACAGTCGGATTTCCGTCAGACGGCTTCAAATATTGATAACGATCTGGTCGCTGAATCAAACTGTGATCTGTAAGTTGGATCTAGAGCGCGTTGATGTCGTCTATTAGCAGCAAGTTGAATCATGAAATTCCATGAAGATTTGACGACGCTATGGCGGTTTGACTCGCAGGAGGTATAGCAGCCACTATAGTCTTGGAAGTACAAAACTTAGCAAGAAGAGTTCGAGAGGGAGATGGTTCCCAGCCTCTACATACCCCAAGAGCCGAGGTCCAGGTTGGTGGTACACCACCACAGAGTCCCCAACCATGAAGAGTCTCGAAACCAACCCTCCAAGGGGCTACACCAAGTGAAATGTAACACTATACGAAGTAACGTTACTATTTTCACTATTTAATATTTATCCGCGTCCCTTGGGCTTGAAACCTTGAGCTCTTGTTCTTGGATCTGCAAGATAAATTCTTCTTGAGTTTATGGGGGCTTGCTGCACACACCTGCGACACGATGGACACTTCACACTCGACAAAATAGAAAAAACACATGCAACACACAAACGACGACTTGACATGCGAGTTGTAAAAACTCGCTAATGTCTTGACCGACACAAACCACATTGTGATACACCATTCAAACACACACACAAGCACTGGATAACAATGACATAGACTCACAATTCATTCCATGCCATGCATGCACACACACAAACAAGGACGACAAGCCGAGTGCAAGCCATAGGGTTGCACCAACAAACTCCCCCTCGGATTGTTGGCCTTAGAATCTGCTCCCCTTAGTTCAGAGCCATCCCAACAAGCTTGCAACACTTCCAATGCTGCTCCGCAACCAGCCTCTTGGTCATCATATCAGCAGGCTGCGCCGTCGTCTTCACGTAGTGCAACTCCACTTCACCCGCGGTTACCATGCTCCTCACCCAATGCCACTTCACCTTCATGTGCTTGGTAAGGCCATGAAGAACGGGGTTCTTAGCCAATGCAATAGCACCCTGGCTATCACAGTAGAGTGGGGTAGGTCCTTGCTGCTCCTCCCCCAATTCAGCTAGCAAACGCCGCTACCACACAACCTCTCTTATAGCACCGAAGAGTGCCATGTAATCGGACTCCACCGAGCTCAATGCTTCGTCCACTTGTTTCTTGCTCTCCCAAGCTGTTGGCCCTCCACCAACACAGCAGATGAAGCCTCCCACACTTGTCATGTCCTCAGGTTCTGATGCCCAAGATGCATCAGAGAAGGCGGTGAGAAAGAGCCTCCCGGGTTCGACTCCATCCGCACCCTTTTGACGCCTTTGTGCCGCCGCGGAGTATTGCAGTCCAACAGTTGCTGTTTGGCCAAGGTACTTGGCCACCCTCTCTCCAGCTGCTACCTGCTCCTCATTAGGGCATTGGACAACCCTAGCCAGCTGCCCGGTAGCAAAGGCTGCATCCGGCCTTGTGTGAACGGCCGCATACATGAGGCTGCCCACCAAGGAGTGAAAACGCCGCCTCTCCTCTTCACCAACACTTTCCTCGAGTGGGGATCGATCTTCACTCGAGTCCTTGTCGTAGTCTCCACCTTTCATGCTTACCGCTTCGCTTCCACGACCACCATGGCCTCCACGACCTCTGCCTCTTCCTCCCCTTGCTCCTCTGCCCTCTTGGCCTTGAGAAGGGGTCCATCCATCAGGCAATCTGAAGCAATCTCTCCACATGTGGCCGGTCTTGTGGGAAAAGTGGCATTCACCATCAAATCGACCGCGCCCACGCCCGTAGCCATTGTTGTTGTTGTTGCTGCCATATCCTCCATTACCACAGCCTCCATTGAAGTTACTGCTGCCAAATATTCCTCCTCGCCCTCTGCCCCTTCCACGGCCGTGCCCACGGCCCATGCTTGCAACTCCGGCACCATCGGGACCCGCCAATTCGCGACGGCGGAAATCTTCTTGTGAGATTTCCCGCTTCACATCTTCGAGTGAGAGACGGGGCAGATCTCGATTAAGGTTGATGATGAGCGAGGACCATGAGTCCGGAAGTAAGGCCAGCAGCTTGGTCTTCTTTTGAAGGTCACTGTAGTTCAGGTCAGCTCCTTCGAGCCGTGTCAACAAGTCGAAGAATTTCTGCACTCCTTCCTCCACCGGTTCGCCTTCGTCAATTCGAAGTGCCGCCATTTGCCGCTCCAAAACCACAGCCACCGCCGCTGTTGCAGGAGCGTGTACACCCTTGAGAGCAGCCCATGCCTTTGGTCCCTTTGCTGGTTCACGCTGAAAAGGCTTGATGTGATGGATTTGGCTGCTCCCCAACGCTTGCCCAAGTAGAAGGTAGCCTTGTGCGCTCTTCCGCACCCACGGGCTCTTCTCCGGGTCGTTCTCGAGGCGCTTCTCCGTTCCTTCCATCACCTCCAGCAGATCATAGTGTTCAAAGATGTTCTCCATCTTGAAGGACCACTCAGCAAAGTTGTCACCATTGAACTTGTCAAGGCCAAACACTCTAGGCTCATCCATAGAGGGTCCAAGGCTAGGTTGCACCGGAGCAACGGGTGGATCTTGGTGTTGACCTTGTGCTTGGGCGTCTTCTCTGCCTCCAGCACCTCTGCCACCCCCTTCCTCAGGTCTAGCCATGGTCGAGACGGCTCCAAGGGGCTCTGATACCACTTGTTATAATCACAATAGGCTTAGATGTGCCTATAATGAGAGATAGAGAGCACAGTCGGATTTCCGTCAGACGGCTTCAAATATTGATAACGATCTGGTCGCTGAATTAAAACTGTGATCTGTAAGTTGGATCTTGAGCGCGTTGCTGTCGTCTATCAGCAGCAAGTTGAATCATGAAATTCCATGAAGATTTGACGACGCTATGGCAGTTTGACTGGCAGGAGGTACAGCAGCCACTATAGTCTTGAAAGTACAAAACTTAGCAAGAAGAGTTCGAGAGGGAGATGGCTCCCAGCCTCTACATACCCCAACAGCCGAGGTCCAGGTTGGTGGTACACCACCACAGAGTCCCCAACCATGAAGAGTCTCGAAACCAACCCTCCAAGGGGCTACACCAAGTGAATTGTAACACTACACGAAGTAACGTTACTATTTTCACTATTTAATATTTATCCGCGTCCCTTGGGCTTGAAATCTTGAGCTCTTGTTCTTGGATCTGCAAGATAAATTCTTCTTGAGTTTATGGGGGCTTGCTGCACACACCTGCGATACGATGGACACTTCACACTCAACAAAATAGAAAAAACACATGCGACACACAAACGACGACTTGACATGCGAGTTGTAAAAACTCGCTAATGTCTTGACCGACACAAACCACATTGTGATACACCATTCAAACACACACACAAGCACTGGATAGCAATGACATAGACTCACAATTCATTCCATGCCATGCATGCACACACACAAACAAGGACGACAAGCCGAGTGCAAGCCATAGGGTTGCACCAACAGTAGCTCGTTCGGAAGATCGTCTGGAAGAATGTCTTGGAACTCCTTCAGTAATTCCTTGATCTTTCCTGGAGGTTCCGAGGTTTTTTCCCTGTCGTTCTCCGCCTCTGTTGCTATGGCCAGGAACCCGGTGTCGGTTCGCTTCACGTCCTTCTCGAATCGTGTGAGTGTCTCCACTGGGATATCTTCTGTATCGTCCTAGTTGGGTAGCTGTACTCTCCATCCATTGTTGTAGATGCTTGCGGTGCGGTTCACCCATTTGATCTTAGGGTTGAATATTTTTAGGAAGTCTCGCCCGAAGATCAAGTCAAGCCCTTTGATGTTGGTGATGGGGAGTGCAGGTCTCCAGCACAGTGGTCCGATTTGTAGGTGTAGCACTGCTTCGCCGTGTACTGGTAACTTGCTTCCGTCCACCATCGTTGCAGAGAATCCTGAAGGCTTGTACTCTTCCTGAAGTCGGTCGATTACTGCCTTGTTGCGGACGGTGTGTGATGCTCCGCTGTCCACGAGTGCTTGGAGGCGTCGTCCTTTGCAGATGACCTCGAGCACGAAGGGTAGGCGTTGCTCGAAGTACTTGAAGATAGTTTCATTGATTGGGTCATAGGGTACATCCCAATATTCCGTACACACCTTTGTGTTGCTATCTACTCCTGAGCTGGCAGCCGGCCGAGGCTGCTTGGAGAACGGTTCTTCTCCAGGGCCCGGAGTTTCCTTGACGACTATGCGCGTCGTTGATGTCGAAGAACTGGATGCATCCGGAGGAGGAGTTCGGGGTATGTGCAGCTTCTTGTAGACCCCCAGCTTCCTCTTGAGCAGCTTCAGCTCCACCGACGTCTTCCCTGGGGAACGGGTAGTCGTTGTGGGCTGGTGTCGGGAGAGGACGTTGAATCCGTGGAAAGGTCGGCTTCTTTCCACACTCCTTAATTTGGTCCCCAAGGTTTCCGGTACCCATATAATCTCCACATTTGCCTGCTTCTTTTGGAGTCCCTCCCGAAATTTCTCAAAGGCTCTAGCCCCTCGAAAATCATAAGTTTTCATTAAAGCATCTTTATAATATAACTTTAACGAATTCTTATCATTTCTTGGGTCTTCAAGGAGTTTCCCCATCTCGGCAGAGTCCTTTTTAGCGGAGTCGTATTTTTCCTCGGCGATTTTCCCTGGCGAAGACTGGTCGTGGGGTGGAGATTTTCCCCCATCATTTCCTCCTTCTCGCATCGAATCAGCTTTGTCGCAGTTGGTTTTTCCGGAATCCCGCGGCCGCTTCCGGATCTTTTTATTTTCGCCAGCTAGATCCGCAATCACTGGCGACTCCCACTTTTTGGCTTCTGATTGGCCGAAGGATTTCCGCCACTGTTGCATGCCTAATACTCAGCGCGTGCGGCTTTCATTTTGTTGCAGTCGAAGATTTGATGACCCGGCACCCCGCAAAAATCACTCGTGTTGGTGTTTTTCAGACGTGGCCGCCCCTCGAATCTGTCGACTTCCATCGGGTCGGCGAACGTGGGGTGAGCCGAGCGGTCGCCCTGTCGCGTACTGCCGACGTGCTTTCGTCGTGTCCCGGCGTTGACCATGTCAAAGCGCTCCGCTGCCGAAACGACGTCACTGTAGCTCGCGTAATTTGACGCTGCCACTTGTCGTTTGACTTCGGTCTTCAGCCCGGCGAGGTACGACTGTACTTTTTCCCTTTCTGTCAGATCGAGAATTCGGTTATAAAATTCCTCCATCTGCTGCGTGTACTGCGCTACACTCCCGAACTGTCAGTGTCGATTAATTTTTTCCCGGGCAAGGAAACTGGAATTTATCGGCTCGAAGCGTTTCAGCAGGTCGGCGCGGAACTGTTGCCACGTGGCTTCACCGTGGATGAAGGTACTATTGCCGCCAATCCACTCGAGTGCCGGCCCTCGCATCAGTGTCGCCGCGAGTCGTACGCGTTGACCGTCCCAGACTGGCGAGCTCCATCCGACGGCTGCGAAGTAGATCTCCATCCCTGCGATCCATCTGCGGGCGTCGGAGTTTCGATCGCTCGGATCGAACGGCTCAGGTGGGCGCGGTTTCGGAGCCTCGAGAAACTGCTGCGACTGCTGTGTCGTCGCCGTTGTCGAGTCGTGCTGCGCTCCGGCGAGTCGAGTTACTCGCTCGAACTCGTTTCGCCACGCTTCGCGATCCGCTCGCATCTCCTCCTGAAGGGCTGCGATGCGCGCGAAGAGCTGCTGGGTAACCTCGGCGTTGTCGACGGTTGCCATCGTGTTCAAAAGACGCACGGAGGGGGTAATTCGAAAATCGCGAAGCTGGTGCTTACCAGAATCGGCGTCGAATTGGTCGCCCCCGTCGGTTTTTCGAGGCAGGATCCCCCGCTGCTACTGCTTAGCTGAGCGCGGCCGAGTGAGAAAAGCTCTGATAACCAAGTGTTACAGGATCGAATGACTCAAGGAAAGATTGCACTATCGATCAGTACAAGGCGCTTTTATACTTCCAAAGCACATCAGGTAACCAGGTTTATCTTATCCTAAGGGAATAGCCCCTTCTAGAAGATAGAATCACACTGCATATAGCCACGCGAGGCTATTGGCTTTAAGAGATTACGGCAAGATTACGCTAGATAGAGCGCACTAGTACATCCCAAACCTGGTCGGTGATATAATTATGATAGCAGGATAAACCAAAGGTTAATGGAAAATGGGGAATAGGAAACCAAATGAGATGAGATAAAAAGAGAAATGAAAGAGGAAGGAAATAAGAAACAGGACCAGTGGTGTAACGGGGTCGTACTCTCACATCTACGGCCTGCGACAGGCGCCTCGTGAGTGGCACGACACTCTACGTGCTACACTAGCTGACCTGCACTTCTTCCCATCGTCTGCAGACCCCTCGCTCTTCGTTCATGCTGGCCAGACCCCGTTCTACATCCTTGTCTACGTAGACGACCTGGTCTTCGCTATTACAGACAGAGATGCCCTGGCCTCTGTTAAGTTTGGGCTACTGAGGAGACACACCTGCACTGGCCTAGGAGAGCTGCGCCGCTACCTTGGCCTGCAAATCTCCAGGGAAAGAGCAGCACGCGCCATCACTCTTACACAGTCACACTTGCGGCGCCTAGACCTTCGGTGGTTCGGTCTTCAGTTCTCCTCTGCACAGCCCACACCTTTGCCAGTAGACCACATGCTCTCAGCTCCAGCTCCTAAGGAGTCAGTAGAGCCTAGTGGTCCTTACGCAGAGCTGGTGGGTTGCCTCATATACACGATGACTTGCACTCTTCCGGATCTTGCATACCCTCTCAGCATCCTGGCTTGCTTTGTGGCCACAAGGAGACACCGACCACAGCACTGGTGGGAAGCTAAGAGGATTTTGCGTTACCTAGCTTGTACATCAGGCATGGGACTCGTGCTGGGAGGACGCAGGCCAGTGGTCCTTACTAGGCACACTGACGCTTTGTGGGCAGATGACGCTGAGACACTCAGGTCCTCTCAGAGCTACTGCTTTAG